GAGATGAATGTTGTCAATAAAGATGATTAATAAAAGTGACTTCTATGTGATCTGTGATTGTACAGCAATGACAAAATGAAGCAGCATTTACATAAACTGGACTGGAAACATATTGGCTTAGGCAAGAATCCCTACAATACAGACATTGACATTTTTACTATTTGTCTACAGCCAGTAAACATCTACATTTTCAGCATCAGTCCTCCCAAAGAGACTTCACAACATTTTGAAATTAGCTTTTCTTTGCCAGGCATTTGTTGCATTATGGAAAACAATTTGTACATTCAGAAGCACAGTGAAAGTTTTTCATGACTTGAGAGACTGTATAGAGACATTAAAGACAAGTGCCTAGAAAAGACAAACAGCTCCTACATTTCCACATATTCACAGAATTAACGTGGTACTTCTAGAGACACTTGTGACATGATTCGTTTTTAAAGCAATAACTGCATAGCCTGTATTTACTTACACATAGAGCAGATACTCCAGTGGGTGTATGCATGGTTGACTGAATGAAGCAGGACAGAGGCCTATGCTTTTCCCACAGGTGTAATGATGAAGTCACATATCCAAGTTTCAAGTTAGAACAAAAATGTGTGGGACTCAGAAACATTATAGGGGTGTGTATACAGATTGACACTAAATCAGTTCATGTTAAGTGCCAGTACAAAAACATTTCTTAGAATTGCCTTGTGAGGAGCTGAAACTATTCATTGATTGACCAAAATAAGGAGTTAATAATTGATTAGTCACAAATAAATGTTGACTGGTTCCAGTTTCTCAAATGTGAGTATCTGCTGACATTCTTATCCTCAGCTCATTCGCTGAACTTTCTTGGAGTCATAACACCAAAACTCCCAGGATGCCATGCTTTAATGACAGAACTCAACTGACCCTAACCCTACACTTGGCATTTCATCTTCCACAATCATTAAGGAAATGGCATAATTCAATAATGTGCTTGTCTGGTTAATAAGAGCTGCTACTCAAAATAAGTCACACAAGAGCGAAATGTGTTTGGTATAAGCCTGAGAATCCCACTAACTGAAGCGTCAATTCAGTTTTGCACAAATACTGAGTTAAATATGCAGCGAAATTTGAGTGTTTGTTTTGCTCAATGGGGACTGGTTCTTATGAGTCTGGGTTTAACAGACCACTTTAACACTGAAACCAAACTCTCTTTGGTCACTGTGAAAATAAAGTAGCTTTTTAAATTTTGTGAGGATTGCACTCTAACATTAGATAGCTGCACTGATCCCACCTGACGCTTTGTGATTCCCAGACAGTCCAGATGTCTTTAAAATTTGAACTGAGCTCAACACCACACATGGCAACACGAGGGACTTGAACATTATTTCATCTGATGTGTGAGCATGTGACACATTTTTGAAATTGATCTCTTCTTCAGTTTACAGAAGATTTTTATCTACAGATAAGAATCCATTCTGTGACCTTTGGTCAAAGAAATATTCTACTATGCATATAATGTACAGTAATGGAAAAATTGTCTTTGTCTGATAACACAACAGAAATTATATTTAATATTCTGATAGAGAAGCAGAAATATTGTAACACTGGGTAACAGTGCCAAGGCTGGTGTTATTTGAATGAATTAAAAAAAAAACAAGCCATGTGGGTAGTAGGTATGGTTAAATAAGTGGCTATCAATAATGTAAGTGTACATTGTTCAGTTTTGGGCCATGATGTGCATCATACTAAAATATAAATTTCCTCCATACTATTCTTTAACAATGGAAAGGTGAAATACTGAAATCATTACATAAAGAGTCTCTGCTACTTGACAGTGACTCAAACCAGTGGTGTCATGCAGGCAATGACCTTGTTGTGGAGAGTCACAGTGGTCACGTTTCCAAAACACTAAAACTTCCCTTCTCGACATGGTCACATCTGCATCAGCATTGACCTGTTTGAGCCAAGCCAATCCTGTGGCCAACCTTTAGTCTGGGGCTGTTTCAAGAGGAACTGTGAATACAATGCACACTTATCAATGCAGCATTTCATCTTGAGGTGATGTTGCACCGAAAATAGGTCTTCTATCATAAAGGCAGCATCCCACCTCACTAACATTTCTTGAAATGTAACACAACTGTAAGGTTCAACTCTCAGATTCCACCATGGCACACAGTTACACAGACCAATATAGTACATACATTATGTGAAACTTTATATACAATTAATAATGTTTCATATTTGACATAATTTCTGATTACGCAAGTGCTGTGTCAAACTACAGTAATACATTACACATAAATACAATATCTAATGTCAGAAGTAATAAAGAATTGAAATAGCAAAAATAAACACTTCAAAGATAATTAGTGCAATTAAATGCAACATAAAGCCAGGTAGCCAGGAGATTTGGTCCAAAGGAGCTAACCAGCTTCCAGAAACACTGTATGAGAGAGTTTAAGGATCTGTCACATGTCCAAATAACAAGCTGCTTTGTTTAGGCCAACTTCTAAGCATCATTTGCATGTCAGGAAAGAAAAATGTTACATGGCCAGCCTCTTAAAAGTTTCTAAAAATCTGCTGAAAGCTGCTGCAATTAGTATTATGGTCTGTGACTGACACTCAACCCCCCAGGTCAAAAAGTATTGCATTCAAACAAAACCTTTGTCACCAACCACTATGACTCACAATACTAACAAAGAAAACAAATTCACATTAAAGGGATAGTTCACTGAAAATGAAAATTCACTCTTTATCTACTCACCAGTATGCAGATGGAGGGGTGGGTGAAGTGTTTGAGTCGACAAAATGCTTTTGACATCTCTTAACAGCGTTGCAGCCAAATCCAATAAAATTGAAGTAAATGGTGATCAATTTTTCAAATGTAAAAAAAACAACAGAACAATATCATAATTTTTTGGTGAACTATCCCTTTAAATGTTGCCTTAAAAAAGTTAATATATATTTGCATATCTGGATGTGGATATGTATGTATGCTCTGATTATAAATATGAAATTTTTATACTGAGGGTTTTTCATAAAAAATTGTGAAGCGGCCACCTCCAGCAAATGTTGCCTTTGACAAAATTCTAGTACAGTGGAAACTGCTTTTAGTGATCATGTTTATCCTGGGCCAAATAGTTCATTTTAAGCACTTGATTACTATAAACAAATTGATTTCCGTCTTTATGATAGTCCTAGAACTTGAGGGAAAGGTAAGGGCATGCGCACGCACACGCTTACGCACACACTTACGCACACACTGACTCCACTGCTCACTTTCTAACATATCGACGCAGACTTAGCTGGCGTGTCTTACCCGACGTGTCTTACCCGCATCAGCTTAAACATTGATTTGTTTGAAATGACATCACAATGTAATAACTGATCACTACATTATGATCCATACTTTTATCAAACAAGTTAAATCTTTCTGCAGAGCTGTAGACACTCCGCTCGCTGTCTTTCTCTCTTGCTGAAACGCCGACAGCCAGACACACGCACTCACACATATAGTGTCATCAGACACGTGTAAACACAGACTGGGTAAAAACAGAATTTGTGAACTTACAGAATGTATAAAGAGCAGGAGGAGATGGCAGGACGGCTGAGTTTGACAGTGCAGTGCACAGTGCGAATGACTGAGACACAGAGAGGAGCAGTAAATTAGTTAGCCAATTAACCCCCCCCCCNCAAACACACACACACACGCACACTCCCTCATCCCTACCCATTTTGATGGTACCACTGCCGCCTACTTTTCAGCCAGGAAAGACCCTGTTTAAATGACATCTCATCAGTCCTGTCAACTTTTTCAAGAATACATAATGAATGAAACATTCAATGACTTCCATTCAACTTCAAACATAAGTCGCCAAAGTACCTTATCACCATCACAGTTATAAAGATAAATATTAGGCCATAAACTTTCACTTCAACTGTAGGAAAAGCAGAGGTATGTCACACTTCTGCTTTTTGCTTTTAAAGGGTTTTTCATATGTCTATGACAAACAGTGATTTGTTCATGGGATAGAGAGAATGTGTTTAAATGCATGCATGTGTAAACATCAGAGTATGAAAATGTGTGTCATGATGGTCTTCTGGTGTGAGGAATAAGTCAAGATGATTTACATGTTGCTGTGTTTGTTCTTATTGAACTGTCATCATTTGGATTTTTTTCAGAGGTCATTGTATCAGATTAGGATCTCTACCATGTCATTGTCCAGTTCCTGTTGGGTGGATGGATTTGATGGATGGAGCTGTTGCTGTGGGTGGGACTGGACAGGTAGCCTCCGCTCCAGGGTGCTGCCGTGAAACACTGCCACGTCTACACAAGGACGAGAAGCAACATCAGAAAGTCAGCAGAGGCAGAATTTCAGTTCAGCCTGTTTGCAAACATATAGTCTTCTACATCATATTTGCCTGAATGAACACTTATTTAAAACAAATTACTTGCTATTGTGTGGGCTCTATTCAAATTTCTAATTCTGATTAATGACCAGATGAACTTTTTGGAACTGGGTCAGTGGGTAAATCATGTAATTAATGGTCCTGAACTATAAGTTGGACAGAGGAACTCAGTGTGAATATTTACTGCTGAGTGTACTGACTCTTCAGTGTTCGAAAAAGGGCTGTGTCTAAAATAATAATTTCTATTCAAACACATTTTGAAGAAGACACTGAGCTGGATATTTGTTGTTCAAGTGTGCTAAATAACCAGTGTGATCAGAACCTTAGATGTTTAGAGGCTCTAATTATTAGCTGACCTGCTATGCGGTCAGGGATGTAGATGGGGCCAGGGCTGGATAGGCGGGCAGGCAGTGTCATGCTCTGAAGGGCTGGAGTGCTGGGCTTGCTGGTATCCTGACCATGACCCTTGTCGGTCTGAGTGGAACTGTCCCTGCTGCCTGTCTTTGAGTGGCCTGTGGTCATCGGGGTGGAGGGAAGCACTGGGGAGGGGGATGATGAGATTGATTCTGTCCTGAGAGACTCTGTACGAAACTCAGGACCCAGCAGAACCCCTGGTAAAGAGAGCAGTCATTACTTAAGATAATGACAGTACAAGTCAGTTACAAGTAACTGTCTATAACCATGTTACACCCCAGTACCATCTCAGCTGTTTTTCTTCCATGTGTCACACATTCCGTGTAAGAACTATTGGTTCTTACCCAGACTGCCTTTCCAGCAGGTGTCCTTGCGTTCTTCAGTGATGGGCGAACTACTCAGTCCCAAGCTGTGAGAAAGCAGTCCTGATCCACCAGAGCCACTGTTGGAGATGGACATCAGGGACTTAGAAGGCCTCATGGCAGACGGTAGGTCTGACTTGATAGGCTCCTTCCTTGAGCGCTGGTGGAGCACCTTGATCATGGCATCCTTTTCTATGATCTGGGCATGGAGATTCTTTATCCTGTATTAGGTAAAACAAGCAGAAGACCAGGAATGAGTTGCAGTTACTACAGGACAGTGTGAGTTACATGTGTGCTTTCCCAAAAAAAATATATACACAAATATACATTAGCGTATTGGTCCACTTCATGTTCACACTGACAAAGTCATATAGACTGAAAATGAACCCATACATTTCAGTGATGTCATTTCCAGAGGTACATGGACTCGTACGTGGGGAGATCTAAAGGCCAGAAGTCTAAAGTAGCACATCAAATGTGTTTGGTTATCTCCTTATACATTGTATGTACATTAACTGACCTCACAAGTCATAAGCAAAAGTAGACCTTGTCCTGTAACATTACTGTTTGATCAATAAGTTCTGTTTTAACACGTTTGAATTCCTGCCAAAATCACAGTCTCTGTCTAGTTTACACCAGCTCAAACCAAACAAACCAAACATAACAGACAGTTCATCTAAACTGGTGTGAAAGCAGTGTAAGTAACACTTAAAAGGGGGTTTAATAACAGATTATCGCTGCCTGTATGCTTTTATTTGTTGTTTCCACTTTTACTATAACATGCTTTTATTTTGGTACTCCCAGGCCAGAAGTAGAGGTTGTGCATCTAACAGCGTACAAAGTAATTGACCTTGCACTGAGCAGACGATAACAAGTGACGGTCAGAGATCAACATAGCTCCGCAATTTTAAGGATTTCTTATTGATGAAATCTGTCTGATTGGACATTCGAAAATCCAAAATGGCGGCCATTTTTCAAGATGACTGCCAAATTAGCCTCCCGAAGTTCCTGCTTTTCATAGAAATGTGTGTAGTTTACTAATTTGAATGACATAAGTGCAATTTTTTCTTTAAGATACATTGTATTGTATTTGTATACAGACACATACATGACATCATTAATGGAAAAGGAGAAAAAAGATTAATATATAACTTTATTGGAAAAGTAACGAAAAAGAGAACCAATATAACTGTGTAACGTCACACAAACACAAACGTTCCTCTAGCTGCTACTGGTCACATATGCAACTGCAGAGTGCTGTGCAAGGGAGTTCCTTTCTGTGGCCACCCCCAGTCAGCAGGACTGCTGGTGTCTGGCCTGGAAATGGTAGCCTGGACCCAGATGATCCCGGCCTGATAAGCAGCACGCTTGGCATGCTCTCTGAGAGCTGCCTGTGTTGGTGGAATTGAGTTGTATGGCCTCTGCTTGCGGGCAAAGAGATACAGTCTTGCTTTATCCACACCAGTGGCTGCACTTGATCTATCATACATTAGGACAGCAAATCTCTCCAGATGTTGCAGATCTAGATCACTAACTGATGTTGGATGCTGGCTGAGATTGGTGAAGGTTTCAGAAACCTCATCACAGATGTTCCAAGTCTGCCATGCTGTCTTCTTCCCTTTACCGCGGAAGGCAGAAACAACGTCATATCCAGTGAAAGCATGAAAGTATAGTATTCCACTAGCTTTCTCAGGCCCAACTGCAGAAACTACCTCATGAACTGGAATCCATTGAATATTGACTCCTTGGCCAAAGGCAATCCACGTGTTCTCAAGACCAAGTTCCTGTAAGGATGGCAGTACAGACACTGCTTTGCTGAGAATATCTGTGTCATTAGCCGTGATGATTAAGGGACTTGCTACCATATGTTGTTGCATCCCTGCAATGTACAAATATCTGTGTGTCAGCTTCTTCATGACAGCATGGAGACACAGCATTGAGGGGCTTCCTTGTGTTGCTAATGGCATCTTCTCTTTTTGTTACAATGAGTGTGCTTGTTGTCTGTGCTTCACAGATCTTCTCTGCAAGAAAGTGAAACAGCTCAGTCTTGTTGCTTTCATCTCGAAGAAAGCTTCTCCAGTTATTTGGGGTCTTACTTGTTTTGGTCACTCTTCTTCTCATTCCTTGCCCCCTTTTTGACCTGGTTTCAGATTTCAGACTTGACTTCTTGTACACATCAAACCCTATGTCCACCCATTTGTACTTGGCACAATAAGATTCCACTTTCTGGATTATGTCTTCTATAGCGTAGTCATCAAATGTCTTAGAGGTTTGTGGAGGTAGGGCATTGATGAGTGCTGAGCCATCTATGATGGCTGTGTCTCCCCTTGGTTCACTGTTTGGGATATTCACTTGTGCCTGAAGAATTTCAGCCAGCTGTGACTTCTGGCATGTATGAAGCTTGCCACTGTCACTGAGAGATGCAGGAGATGACTGGTTCTCATGCTTGAAGAATTCCTGCAAGTCACACTGCCAGTTCTGGCATGAGATGAAGATTTGTGACAAAAACTGACAGTCATCTTTCAGCACTTTATCCTTAGAACTGCCGCCAGGTTACTTTAAGACTTGTTTAAAGAAAGAAACTGTATTCTTTTTGATTGGATGACAGAATGAACATTCATCTTTATTCTCTAGCCCCTTCATGAATTACTGGAACTGATCTTTGCCCCGCTGGTGATGTGTACCAACCATTTCAGCAAGAGCTGGGTCTGCAACATTCTTGGTGTCTAGCACTAGTAAGTCAGCTGACTCGTCTTGGAATGGGTTGCCCATCTCCTGCAACACTTCAGAGAGTGCTTTCACCTTCTCAAAGAAAGATCTTTGCGCACTCAGTGTCTGCTCATGATGTCTCCTCTCATTGTTTGAATCTTTCATACCTGACACAGCCTCATATCCAGCTACTAGATGACTCATTTCGGGTCCAGCTACCATCCACCTATGAAGTGCTACTGGGTCTTTTGTCAATCCAATGGCTCCTCCATCACCTTCAATGACTCATGGGCTTGGTCAATTGCCAGGCCTAAGAATTCTCTTCTCGACTTGTGAACAACAAAGTTTCCCTTGTGAAACTCCCTTGCCAATTCTGGATGTTGTTGCTCAAGGCACATCATGTCTCTGAGGTGAACTAGGATCAAGTGTGCATAATTGACATTGTTGTTCGCAAGGAGGAGTAAGGGGCCAGTTCTGAGAGTGCTTCACGATACAGGTTGAAGTCTCCTTCTCTGAATGAGCGGATCAGGGTGAAAATGGTGAGCTCCATGTCCAGCACCAGACTCCAGAACTGAAACTGTGGACTCTCTAGCTTCTGTTGTTGACACCCATCTTCAAAGGTAAGATCTGACTGGCCAGATGAAGCAGAGCAGTAGTCATGGTATGCTTAGTTCATCAGTTTGTACAGGTTGCAAGCTGTGATCTGATGGGCTTGTCTTGTCTTGGTGACACTTGATGCAAACAAGAAAGACTCTGCTGTTCCAGATGAGGCCACTCCTGCCTCCACAATGGCACTGGTCCAACCACCGTCCTGCAGTAGTGTTCTTAGTGATCTGAGTACAGCCATTTCCATATTCAGGCCATGTCCACTGGAATTGCTTTGCTAGAGCATACAAAGGTTGGTCAGCAGCAACAACAGGGATCTGCCCTGGGTTCAGGAAAGCCACTGTATCACAAATCTTCTTCAGGACATGCTTGATGGTTGCAACAGAGTGAGCCTGGTCTTGCATCAGGGGCATTAGTGCTGAAATGCTCACTTCAAATGGCTTGCTCCTCTTCAAAGATTAAGATAAATTTCCTCTGTATTGTCCCACACACAGCATCCAACATGCAAACATGTATTTAACCCATCCGTGTGAACACAGCACACATGGAACACAATCCACACAGTGACCACATGGAACAGTGGGCAGCCATGAAGGAGCAAATAGGTGGTTCGGTGCCTTGCTCAAGGGTGCTGGGAAAGGAGAGGGAAATAATAAAGTCAAAGTCCCACACGGAGTACCAGGGGCTCCACAAGTAGTACCAGGGGCACATGCTGGGAGAGGAGAGGAAAATAATAAAGTCCAAGTCCCACACGGAGTACCGGGGGCACAGAGGATCGATCAAAGAGTGATGCTGATCGTTGCGATGTGCAGTTTCGCACCCCTTTTTGCAAAGCACCCTACAGGAAACCGGTTTTCGGTGGCACAATGGAAAACATTGCACTAAAAAAAAAAAACCTCGGCAGTGCACAGGCACCTCTCCAACTTCCGTCCATGCTGGACTTGAACCGACTTGGCTTGGTTCCCAAGCCAAGTCTCTATGGACTGAGCTACTGCCTCCCCTTCTGTTTCTTCATCCCCATGTCTGAATTCAGTTTGAGTATGTCACGTTCTTTACCAGCATTGTCAGGGCTTGGATGTTGAAATATGGACAAACTTGTACCATGGAAGGAAGTTTGAGCTGTAGTCGCAGACGGATTATGGTCAATGTTGTCCACAGTTGCAGTAGTGAACAATTGCTTTCTCAAGACTGGTGGACAGATGACACCATCTTCCATGTACTGGGCTACAACCGCTTCTCCCAGCTGAGCTGATATTTCAAGGACTCTGTCATATGATATTCTGAGTCCATTCCCATGGAGCATATCAATGAGTTGTCTCTTTCTGGTTTTGGCAAACACAGACATACCAACATAGAAAGCAAAAGGTGTCTTGCGGTCCTTGGAATGCCTGTGGACTTATGTTCCTTATTTGTACTTGGCAGAGCAGTTGAACTGCAAGAGCTGCGATATAGCAAGGTCTGACTTCGATGCTCCATGTTGGAGTTAATGTCTCCACCATGTTCGATCATGCATACAAATTGCAAAAGTGATGGTGGTACAGCCTGTTCTAGGTCTTAATTGTTAAACATGCTGCTGAAATGTGACTTATGATTAAGAATGTCTTGTCTAATCATCCCAGCAGCTTTCACCAGATGGGTTGCTTCACCATACTTGGATGCTTGTGCAAACATTGAGCCCACATCTTTCTCAAAAGCCAGCATGACATCTCGTCCCTGGTGATGAGCTTGCAGCTCAGGGATGTGACAAAGCAGCTGGTCCTTCAGTCGAGTAGCATGAACCTGAGGTGATTCAACACCCAGCTGCTCCAGTCTCTGCTTGTAAATCATGGTCAGATCAGCAAGCCTGAAAACGGGTGGATCTGCACCATCACTGGCAGCTTTTATTTCACTGATGTGAGTGACCAGT